CCCCCGGCCTCTGGCATCCGATACGCGAGGCTATTACCCTGGTCATCCCTCCTTTTTTCTGCTCTTTCTTCTCCATCTCTCCCCTTGGATGACATCCAGGCGTGACGGGAGCTACTGAAAATTCATCAACTGCCTAGTCTAAAGTAACTATAATAATTAAGATTCAGGTGAAACAAGACATGCAAAAAAAAAAAATCCCACACTATCAGGAACTGTACAAAAAAGAGGAAAAAAAAAAAGGTGGAATTGGTGTTAAGGAGCTCCAAAGTCAACATCTGAAGATAACTAATGCTGAGCATCAACATCGCCTTAAGAGGTTCCCATCTATACTCTGCTGCTCCCTGGGATGTGTGGCATAAATACATGGGTGACCCTATTCCCAACCGGATCAAGATCCTGAGCCAGCCTAAAAACATACGGTATATGTGGGTTTGGGATTCTTACTACATTTGCAATTCTTCCAGTACCACATCAGAAAACACTTCCGGCAATTGCAAGTGCCCCATCGCAATCACGCACCCTTGTCCGAAGCCATTTGGCTCCTAAGCAACATGAAGGGTCGATCTGGCTATCTGGGGTGAAGTCAAATCAAACGTGATTTGCATCAAGTCAAATCAACAGAAATGCAGCTTTGTCTCTCAAAACATAAAAATTAACAGTAAGTTCAAACCTATTTTGCTTTGTGAATTTCCAGTTGAAAGCTAGAAACTTAATTAAGTGCTCTGGAAAAATGAGCGCTTAAGATCTTTAGATGTGATAATCATAAAGCAATTTAAAAATTACAACCATTAAAGTCAAAATGCAAACTTAGGGCTCCTACAGGCTTCAATATTTGCTCACACAGATCCTTTACACCTTAAGCTAGCAGGTGAGACGACCTAGTTACTCAAAAAACGTCTTCTCCCGTCTACATTTCTCTTGCCAGACACGATTAATATGGAAAAACAGAAATATTTTGCTTACTCATATTTATATCTTAATGAAGCTTTCACAGCAACAAAAAAAAACAGCGAGGGCAGGAGCAGACGACCTAATGATCCGCAAGAGTTTTGCGGCTTAAATGGAAAAAAAATTACTAAATATTCCTCGAGAACTCAACTGCTCGGGTCAATATTGCTCGTAGCAAGACAAATAACTCCATTTGCACGTCACCGAGCCCTCGCTAAGAGCTTATGGACTTCTTTAAAAGCCCGACGATCAATAAACTGCAATTAAAAAAAATTAGTCGAGGGCGGCCGCTAACGTGATGGAGATTAAGCAGACCCACGCTACCTCTAAACTTTAAAATTAGCCTAAATGACAACCTTAATCAGACTGAGAGAAGCAGATATAAAGAAAATAAGATAATTTTATTTAATATTTATATATCTCATGTATAGATAATGTTTATATTTATAGATCTCATACCTGCTATACGCTTATTTTCTCTTAATATATCTCATATATATCCATTTTACAGGAATGTACCTGGCGTTTGACAATCTAGGAAACGCACCTTTGTCTACAGGCTATCACGACGCAGATATCGCAGATACCGCTTGAGCGAACGCGGCCGGTCCCGCCGCAATGAGGCTGCTCTGACCAGCAACATCGCCTCCGAGCTTCAGCGCTCCGCTGAGACGCCGGCTGGGGGACGCACCCAAATTCAGAGTAACCTCAACTCGCGTTATTTATCATTTCAGACCCTTGTAAGGAAAAAACAACGCGGAGCCCTGACCTCGTTAGACTGTAATTGCCTCCTCTGTCAGATGACGCGTTTATACTCGTCCACGCCAGCGTCCACTCCGTCAATAACCCGGGATGATAAATTTAATTACTAACCCGACTCGAAAACCAGGCAAACATCAATATGTTGGGGTTTTTTTTAAAGCATTACGTTTTCTCCCAGTTTTATTGAAATTATTTGGCTTTCCCGCAGCAGATGAAAACCAGATGTTATAGCGAGGGAAGGGTCGCGCAAGCCAGAATGAAAAACCAAGACAGCAACGGGCAGGACGCACCCATTCATTACCCATATATTTCCCTTCCGCCATAAGGCTATTTATATTGCATCTCTATTATTACAGATATTGTAATTGTGATGCAATTCGAGAAACCACGCTTTTCCCCTTCGCAGCCCGAAGTAGAAAGCAGCACGTGAGTCGCAAGGCTCCAGCGAGGTCGCTTTGTGCTGCGTAAGCCCTTCGGAAAGCTTCGCTCCCATCTTGCGGCGTTAACGCCAGTATTATGGTTTGTAATCCCTCCTGAAGCAGACCGAGCCCAGGATTAATCCCGGCTTACCGGCTCTTGGACGCCCACTCGTTATGCTGAGAATACGCAGAAAAAGAAAAGGAGTTTGCGTACGCGCACCCAAGGCAATTTAGGCAGCATCGCTGCACACGCCAATATTAAACACGCATCCTCGTTTACGCAATTTGCGGCGCAAGCGGAGGAGCAGCACTGGAGTTATTCATCGTTTCAAGCAGCTACACGATGCAAAAACGGGGAGTAAATGTAAACCACGGGTGATTTAAGAACTGACCAGCCATATGCATGGGCAACTGGAACAGCAGATGACCTACCTTGTTGAATTTTTAGGCATACTTCCCATACTTTTGCTCCCTCCACACTATTGTTTTTTTTCCTCATTTAATCCTATTTTTTTTCTGGCAACAGAGTATTCTGATTTAAAGCAAAACCAGAAAAAGAAAAGCACACGGGGAAAAATGAGCCTTGTCATGCTACGCAAAAACCCCTGCCCCGTCCAGGTTTGTATACGAGCAACCTATAGGTTGTACACGAGCAACCTATAGGTTGTATCACCACTCCAGGGACCACGCTGGGAATCGCAGATCATCATCCCAGGATTGACCAGCCGCTATTTTGGGGGATTCACTTAAATTCCTTTAAAACTGCCTTAAAATTGTAAGTTAGCTTTGACATCCTTTTCAGCTCTCAGTTATACACCTATATACCGGAGCAGCATCTCTGGTTACTCAGCAGGGCCACACGTACACAAGGACATATATAATACACCTCGCCTTGTCATTAACAGATGCAATCATTAACGGGTCGGAAAAAATGCCGTTGCTAATTAGTCTCCAAAATATTTTAAGTATCCATCATGGATGTGCTTTTCCATAGCAAAAAAGGGATTACTTGTATTATTGCAAGCATTCTTCTGGAGCTGGCGAATGAAGTTAAAATAATGCTTTTTACAAGGAGGATGCGAAGCTTCACGCCACGACCCCGAGAACGAAGCAAGC